AGATTTATTCATAGATCCAGTCAAAGATCTATTTTAATCATTTCTGGTTTAAATTGAGATCCCTTCCCTTTATAACTCACTTATCCTCCACCATTCCCAAGTCAAGGGTCGTATATACTGACCCAATAGCATATCTTGAAAACTAGAGCCAATTAACAATTTTAAGCATCATTTTCATTCTCAGTGACCCAGAATTAGTAGTTTGACTACATTTATTTCAGAAGCATTTTGGCTGTAGAGCAGTGTAACCAGTGAGGTACTATAGAAGCTGTTTTGTGCTGGCTTCGTAAATCTAAGTATTGGAATATCCACCAGCATTTGGGGTTTGTCTGCCCCGTTTTGTTTGCAGTTCACCCTGATTGAGTGACCTCAGCTGGCTCCCACGGGCAGCACCGTCACAGTAGGCTTTATGGACTTGGAGTAGGAGCCAGTCACCAGGGGATAGATATCTTGATGATAACTCCAGTCTGGGTGAATGGGCCATCACTGACACACCTGCCAAAGAGGTAATGCAATGCTCAATTGTGTAGCCTTGCTCCACCCCAAGACTGTCAATGGAAACCACCAGAGACAATTGTAACTGACCAAAACCACTTGGAGGTAAAAAAGAAACATTACAACAGACAGGGGATCGCCCTGTCTATCAGTCCAGAAAGAAGACTGTTCTGGTATAATACGGAGTTGGGAGAAGCACTCTGGATCCTTTCACTGAGGAGGCAACATGAGGAGTGCAAATTTTTTCATGAAAAATTGGATCCTGGTTCCTGTGAAACCAGCCAGGTTGGCAACAGACTGAACTTTGGGAGAAATCTACTTTATTAGATGGGAAAGGTAAGTCTTAATAAGTAAAAATAATGAGGAGTCCTTGTGGCACCTTAGAGATTAACAAATTTATTTGGGCATAAGCTTTCATGGGCTAAAACCCACCTCATCAGATGCATGGAGTGGAACATACAGTAGTATAAATACACAGCATATGAAAAGATGGGAGTTGCCTTACCAAGTGGGGGGCAGTGCTAACGAGCCAATTAAATTAAGGTGGAAGTGGGCTATTCTCAACAGTTGACAAGAAGGGGGAAATCACTTTTGTAGTGCTAATGAGGCCATTGTAAACACGGTGGTCCATTTCAAACAGTTGACAAGAAGATGTGAGTATCAGCAGTGGGAAATTAGTTTTTGTAGTTGTTACCGAAATATCGGGTCCACCTAGCTGAGAGCCAATAACAGCCAGACAGGGATAAGGAAGAGTTGCTTTATTCTGCAGAAGAAAGGAGAGCTTTGCACCTTGGTACAAAAAACTCTGTCTTACACACATTTTACAGATCCTTTATACACATTCAGACAAAGGTCCTTGCAGTGTTAACACTTGATTGGTGGTTGTCAGACCCGTGCTTTTGCTATCTGGTCAGTGAAAACCAGCTTGGGACCAGCTCCAACTACCTTAAGGCCTTGAAGGGAAAACAGTTGAAAAGTTCAGGCTACTGTGTCCTTAAGGTGTCTGCTTCCCCCAATGGCCGTTGGCTGACATAACGACTGCTCTATTAGGAGGGGTCACTAGTAACTTTCACAGTCCCCCCTTCGGGCCTGATAAATTCAAAAATTGTCAGGCCCGTTACGCAATTTGCGATCAAGCTGGAGGAACAGATACTGGGTTTTCTTATGGACAGCAGAGCTTTTGATCATAGTATTACATATGCATTTGGCACATTGTATCATTGTCCAAATACCACATAGAAAAAAAAAGAAAGAAAAGAATCCATTTAACAATTATTCGAAAGAGCCCCGTAAACCATGATTCAAGGTCTGGAAGGAGGTCCTCAAAACTAAAGGTGTGATCAAGAGATACAGCATGGAAAACAACAGCAGCATTCTTAATGGCTTGTAAATCCTGCTCAATTAAGCCAGAATGATTAACATAAACACAACATTTTTCCCCGATGCGAGCACAACCCCCCCCTAATTCGGCATTCATAGCAGCTAACACACGTCTATTTTGCAAAGCTATTTCTGCCACCTCATCAATCTCCTGTTTCAACTTTTGGAAAGCGTCTATTAATGCATTAGCTACTTTTTCTAGTTCTGCAAAAATATTTACTACTGCTTTTTCTAGCTCAGCTACCCCCAACCCAGGAATGAGAACACGAACAAAGGAGTGAAACCCCGTTTGCCTGACTACTAGGGGATTGTTGGTGCATTTCGCTTGAGTCCTTATGGGGGAATGTGAAAAACTTATGGGCATAGCTGCCCAGGTTGAGGATCTGGCTGGAATCCAATGTGTCGTTTACTTGGACATCTGGTAACACCCGGGCCACACCACACCGACCTTGCCAGCCTGGAGGGAGAGCTTTGTAGACATTGTGGCCACAAATAAAATACAAGCCAGGGGTCTCTAAATAGAGGGTAAGGGTATTACCCACAACTCGATGGCGCCAGGTCACCCATTCATCCCAGCGCCAGGAGTTACTCACTAGGAAGTCCTGGCACCTCCAATGGGAAACATGGGTATTGTTTAAAATGCCATGGGTATTGTTTAAAATGGCAACACAATACGTAACCCCAAATATGTTAGCTGTGAAACTTGCAAGTGATCCCATGGACTCTGGGCATCCAGACATCCTTTCAAGGGATGTGTGGGGCAACAGAATGCCAGAGTAAATATCCATATAATACATATGTGTCTTATTTATGGGGCCTAATGGGAGGAATGAGGGAAACCACTGCCCTTGATAACGAATGCCTGTTGGTTTCACAGTAATGGCCATGTGCAGGAGACAAGGGGGTTTTGGGGCATTCCCAGAGGTATTTAAAGGGTAAAGGGTTCCATTTCTGACCTCAAACCAAAGGGTTTGATCACAGGCCTCCAGGGGAAAGGTAGCCCACTTCCTTCAGCATTTTCCAAACAAAGGGGCATGTTATACCCAATCCCAAGAACTTCAGAAAGGGACCCCCTTAGCTGCCCAGTAATAATGCCAAACTTCAGACCTTCTCCCATATTTGTCATATTGATATTCCCCAACTCATGCCCATTCAGTTTTCCGTACTACCTGTAAGGAGAGTACTTCAGAGAGATTTGCAGGTACAGCCCATAACCCTATTCCTTCCTCAGAGCGGGTTTTGTGACACAGCCAACAATCAGATAAGTGTCCCAACGTGGCTATTCACTGAAGAGGTTTAGTGGCTGGGTGTGGGTTAGCTTGTACAAGGGGCAGACCCAAAAGCAATAGCCACTGCAGCACCGTCTGAGAACCTATAGTTATAAAGTCTTAGGATTTTGTTCACCGGAACAGAAGTTTTAGTCCCTCAAGAGGTTCAGCTTTCCAGGTATCGTCTGCTTCTGGCTCTTCCGGGTCATGGTGGGAAGAGCTGGCGGTGCTCCCTCGAGGTCCGAAGTCATCTGCTTCTGGCCCCGTCCTAGGGGCTAGCTTGACTCGGGTGTGGTGTATCCAAGTGTCTCGCTCTTTCACTCGAATAGCAGTGTGAGAGGTAAGAAGGACTTGGAAAGGGCCCGCCCGCCAGGGTTGGAGAGGCTCGTGTTTCCACTCTTTCACATAGACCCAGTCTCCTGGAGCGATCCGGTGGGCAGGAATATCAGCGGGTAGGGACTGACATTGAATTGGTAAGCGTGGCCCCAGCTGTCCTTATCTAAAGGAATACTAAAAAAAAAGCATTACACAAGTCTATTACTGAATAACAAGCAGTACCTGCTGGAATGGCAGTCAGGATTGTGTGAGGGTTTGGCACCACATTGTGTCTAGCTTGAACAACCTTATTTATTGCACGTAAGTCCTGGACAAATCGGTATACCGGTTTTCCCTCTGAGTCCATGTCAGTTTTTTTTGACTGGCAGAATGGGAGTATTGAAAGGAGACTTGGTGTGAACCAGCACTCCCAACCGCAGGAATGTGGTGATAAGACTCCGGAGGCCAAACAGAGCTTCTTGGGGGATGGGATACTGACGAATCTGAGGAATTTCAATGCCTGGCTTCAGGGTTATACGCACTGGCTCTGTCTGGAGAGTACCCAAGTCTGCCCTTGAAGTGCCCCACAGGGAGATGTTTACCTCCTGTCTGAGTCACTCGGGTAGGATTGGGTCCGCAGACAGGATCAGGTCCTTTGAAACTTGGGTTAGAACAGCACACAGCTGGGGAAGTTGGGTTTGAAGCAACCGAAGAATGATTTTGTCATCTGAAAAGAAAATCTGAGCATGTAGTTTACACAACAGATCTCTGCCTAAGAGGTTAACTGGGGAATCCGGAGCTAGAAGAAAGGCATGGGAGGCGGAGACACCAGAGATTTTTACAGCAGCCTCCTGTAATACAGAAGAGTCAAATGGCTTTCTGCCTATACCCATTACTGGAATGCTCTTATCTGTAAGGCTTCCTCTCTCCGGCTTTGCAGTAACAGTAGAAAGTGCAGCCCCTGAATCCAAAAGACAAGAATAGGCGGTTCCTCCCAATGTTAGGCAAACCTGGCGGTCTGTGAAGGAACAAACATAAGTGGTAAAATCATTTGAATAGGTGACAAGAGGACCCCCTTGTTGCCGTCATTCCTCATTAGCAACAGAGTCTGTTCTTGTTACAGCCATCTGTTGTTGAGGTCGGTCTGGGCGACGGGGTTGTCGTCCGGTAGGTCAGTTCGGACTCTCTCTCTTCCAGTGGTCAAGCTGCTTACAGTAGTTACATATGTCATTGGCATGTCTCGGGGTCCCCCCATAATCCAATTTTGGTTGCCACCTGGGGGGTCCCTGCCACCCTCCCTGTTTTTCATTTCCAGTGTTTACAAGGGCTGCTAGCATCCTCACCTGTTTGGTCTCTTGAACTTTTTTCCCTTATATGATATACCCGGGTGGCCACGCTTACCAGTTCCTCCAGGGATTTTCCTTCAGCACCCTCGAGCTGCTGCAACCGCTTCTTGATGTCCGGGGCTGACTGGGAAATAAAAATAAGCCTGACCGTGGACTGTGTGTCCGTGGCCTTGGGATCTGCATTTTGGCAGATCTTTGTTGGTAATATCTGTCTCGGTAGACCTGCTGTCCTGGGCTCTGTTGAGGAGGGTACCGGGTCCACCGCAATTGGTAATGCTGCCGCCGGGGGTTGGCGTGGTCTAGAGCAATACATGGGGGGATATCCTCCAAATAATCAGCCTCGGGAGGGGCAGAAGCTTTCGGGAATAGAGGGGCCTGAATCTGTACCTTCTTCATGCGACGATTAGCCTCATCGTCCCACAAAAACCAATAGTCCATTTGCCCCGGCGCTTGGTTTTCCAATGTCAGGTGTAAGGAGGTTAAATGGGTAGGAATATCAAAGGAAATATCTTTCTCTGCTTCCACAACATACTCGGGCCATGCAGTCCCCAGGACTGGCCAATCCTGGGTGCAAAGTTGTAAAAAACGCTTCCTTGACATCCCTTTTTGAACACCGGGTAAGGGCCGTTTGCTTAACATATAATCCAAAGGACTATCCTTTGAGGGTTTTACCAGAGACCCACCCATCTGCCTGCTGACACTCTAACAAAGAATTACACAGAGAACAGAGGGAATTATGACCTAATAGGATCCTATTACAGGAATTTCTACTAATACTGACCGCTACAGGGGACCGGACAGAAGGATCCCAATTCAACCTCAGAGCTTCATTGCACGCGATGGCTTCCACTCTGAGGAATTACGAATGAGAGGCTCAGTTCCGTCCACACACCTAACACCCAAATGTATAAGACAGAAATTCATTAACTGGTTAACCAGACCAGAACCAGAACCAGATAGTGTCTCCTTATCCTATTAGGACTCACCTTATCGGAGCACGAACCCCAGGGGCTGCGGTGAAGCAGAAAAAAGGGGCGAAACACCCCGTTGGCGCTGTTCCCAGTTCGCCGCAGCCGTCCGGAGTCCAATGTCCAAGCTAGGAGAGTCCCGGCGGAGTCGCCAGTAACTGTCATCTGAAATATCGGGTCCACTTAGCTGAGAGCCAATAACAGCCAGACAGGGATAAGGAAGAGTTGCTTTATTCTGCAGAAGAAAGGAGAGCTTTGCATCTTGGTACAAAAAACTCTGTCTTACACACATTTTACAGATCCTTTATACACATTCAGACAAAGGTCCTTGCAGTGTTAACACTTGATTGGTGGTTGTCAGACCCGTGCTTTTGCTATCTGGTCAGTGAAAACCGGCTTGGGACCAGCTCCAACTACCTTAAGGCCTTGAAGGGAAAATAATTGAAAAGTTCAGACTACTGTGTCCTTAAGGTGTCTGCTTCCCCCTAATGGCCATTGGCTAACATAACGACTGCTCTATTAAGAGGGGTCACTAGTAACTTTCACATAGTGACCCATCCACTCCCAATCTTTATTCAGGCCTCATTTGATGGTGTCCAGTTTGCAAATTACGTATAGGTCCCAGTTCACATTTTATTATTTGTTTTGTATTGTAACCATTTGTTTTGCCCACTCTCTCTTGTTTCTAGTTGAATCAATACTCTTTCTTAAATAAATCTTCTTTTGTTTTCTTACAAGGGATGTGTGGTTTACAGGAGCAGCGGCTTAAGGTAAAATGAATAAACTGGAGTACACCGCTCCTTTGGGGGCAGAGGAGTTGGAATTTCTATGAGTAGCCAGTGTCGAGGGCTGAGTATCACAGGGGAATGCTTCAAAGGGACTCCGGGACTTGGGTGCACCTGTTGTTAACTTTCAAGGTGAAGACAGGGCTGATATGGCTCGGAAGAGAGTGGTTGAAAGGCTGGTGGTGTTAGGGAGCTGACAGCCAGCTAGGCACAGGAAACAGTCCCACACGCTGGAGACAGAGTGGTAACATGGTGACTCACAATCCTGGGTACCCCAAGAACCATCATAATGCTTGTGACATTCCAGGGGCTCTTTGCATCAATCCATTCCACCCCACCCCCAACCTCCCGCATACCCCCCACTATTTCAGGGACTCCTTGCAACTCCCTCCAGTCTCCCCCATGCAAAGAGCTCTGTGTGCCACCCATTCTCCTTCCTCCAGTACCAAGGTCACCCATTCTCCCCTATGGAAGTGACTCTGTATGTGTCCCCATCCCCGTATACCAGGGCCCAACAATTTCCCTCTGCCAGCTGTTCTGTGTGCCCCTTTCCACCTCCACCCTGTTCCCACCTTCACCCTCCTGCCAGGGGCTCTGTGTGCCCCCTGTTCCCCATTTCAGGGTCCCCCCTCTATGTGTACCCCCATTTCCAATTCCTCCCCATTTTCCCATGGCAGGATCTCTATGTGGACCCACATTCCTATTTCCCCCAAGCCTTCCACTCCCCTCCATGCCAGAAGCTCTGTGCCCCCCATTCTCTCCTTCCTCCCCTTACAAGGGGCTCTGTGTCTCCCATATTGGGGACTCTTTGTGCTCCCCTTCCCTCATATCAAGTTCTTCCAATCTCCCCTATATCCAAGATTATTGTGTCCTACATTCCCCTCATAGCAGGGACTTTTTCTATGCCCCCATTCCCCTCTTTCCACTATCTTTCTCATTCTCCCTTCCCCCTATACCAGGGTCCACCAATCTCCTGCCCAACTACATCATTCTCCCTCCCCCTATTCCCAACTTCCCCCCACGCCAGGTATTCTGTGTGGTCCTTATACCCCATTCCAGAGTCACCCATTCCCTTTCCTATCCCAGGGACCCCATGTGCACCTTACCCCTCATTTCCCCCTATTCCCAACTGCTATACAAGAGTTCTGTGTGCCACCCTATTCACAGTTCCACCCATTCCACAATACCTCATAGTGCACCCCCATGGCATAGGCTCTGTGCACCCTGCATTCCCTCCTCCCCCTATAGCAGGATCCCCATTCTTCCCCCAAAGGCAGGAGCTTTGTGATAACCTTAGCTGCCCCACTCCAGTAAAAAGGAGCCCTGGAGAAGGCTGTGGCTGGGAAAAGCTAGGCTGATTGGGGAAACAGCCACAGCTGTGGCCAGCTCAATTTGAGCCCAGCTGGCCCTAATAAGAGGGCTGTGGGCTAGGAGCTGAAGGAGTCTTAGGGCACATCTTCACTACCCGCCAGATCGGCGGGTAGCAATCAATCTATTGGGGATCGACTTATCGTGTCTAGTGAAGACGCGATAAAATCGATCCCCAATGGCTCTGCCATCGACTCCGGAATCCACCGCGGCAAGAGGCAGAAGCGGAGTCGACGGCGGCGTGGCAGCAGTCGACTCGCCGCCGTCCTCACATCCAGGTAAGTCGACCTAAAATATGCAACTTCAGCTACGCTATTCACATAGTTGAAGTTGCGTATCTTAGGTTGACTCCCCCTCCCCCCCCACCCGTAGTGTAGACCTAGCTTTACTCTAGCCCTGGTGTGGGAAGGGCTAGCTGCTTGAGAGCAAGGTATCTGAAACAGAGCAGAGCAGTGCTAGGGAAAAGGACAAAGGAAGCTCCAGCCTGGAAAACCTAGGGTTACCATATGTCCGGATTTTTGGTCCTCAAATCCCCATCTGGGGGGAATTGCCAAAAAGTCGGACATGTCCGGGAAAATAGGGAGGGGGCTGTCCGGACTGGGCCGCACCTCCTCGCGCCCTCCCCAGCCCCAGCCCCAGCTTAGAATCATAGAATCATAGAATATCAGGGTTGGAAGGGACCTCAGGAGGTCCAACCCCCTGCTCAAAGCAGCTTACCTGCTGCCTGCCTGCTTCAGGCTTCCCGTGAATTAAATGTTCGCGGGAAGTAGGGGAGGGGGAGGAGCAGGGGGGCGAAGCGTTCAGGGGAGGGGGCGGAGTTGAGGCGGGGACTTTGGGGAAGGGGCAGAGTCGGGACGGGGCGGGGCCGGGGGCAGAGTTGGGGTGGGGCCAGGGCCCTGTGGAGTGTCCTCTTTTTGGACACTTAAAATATGGTAACCCTAGGAAAACCCCCAGGCTGTAGACTTTGGTGAAGGCCTACAGAGGTACTGGGGCTGAAGAGGGGCCACCTGGGGATAGGCAAAGGCAGCAGGTCCTAACCCCTTGCCAGTGATGAGTGGTTTATTAGGGTAACCATATTTCCACAATCAAAAAAGAGAACACTGGGGGGGGGAGCCCAACTCTAGCCCCGCCCCCATCCACTCACTCCCAATTCCTGCCCCCTGACTGCTCCCCTCAGAACCCCCAACTCCCCCCCACTCCTTGTCCCCTGACTGCCCGCTCCTGGGACCCCTGCCACTAACTGCCCCCTAGGACCGCACCCCCTATCTAAGCCTCCCTGCTTCTTGTCCCGACTGCCCCCTCCTGAGAACCCCCCACCCTAACTGCCCCCCTAGGACCCTACCTGTCCCCTGACTGCCCTGACCCTTATCCATACCCCTGCCCCATATTCACACCCCCACCCCCAGACAGACCCCCAGGACTCCCATGCCCTATCCAACCACTCCCCGCCCCCTGACAGGACCCCCAGAATTCCCGACCCATCCAACCCCCTCTGCTCCCTGACTGCCTCGACCGCTCTCCACACCCCCGCCCCCTGACAGGCCCCCCCGAAGAACCCCTGACCCATCCAACCCCCCCCACTCTCTGTCCCTTGACTGGCTCCTCCAGAATCCCCTTGCCCCTTCTCCAGCCCCCTGGCCCACTTACCCTGCCGCTCAGAACAGCATGTCAGGCTCTGCGCGG